GCTATTGAGTGGTGTGCTGTGCGTTGGTGGTTATTGTTGGTGGATCTATGGTGGTGATGGTGGTGGTGGTCGTGTGGTGGTGGCGATTTTGTGGCGGGGACGGCGACGTTGGTGGTTATTGTTGGTGGTGTGTGACAAAGTGTTTGGTTATCTGTGACCTAAAAATTTTGACAATGTGACTCAAAAATAATCTGTGACCGACTAATTTAAAAATCTGTGACCTCAAACAATCTGTGATGTACAAATTTTTGGATCTGTGACCTCAAAATAATTTATGACCAAAAAATTTGACGATATGTGACCAGTAAATAAATTCGTGGCTTATAATTATGAATATGTGACCATTAATCACAAAAATGTGACTTCATTATCTTTATTTAATAAACATAAAAATAAAACCTGATTTTTGAATTTTTAAACTATAAACCTGATTTCTGAATTTAGAAACTTAAACACCTTATTTTTTATTTTTTTCCCTTAGCATAAATTCAAACGGTCCTATAAAAAACACAGGTGCAAAGGCACAAAAACACATAAAAAAAAAAAAAGAACAAATACTGACCAATGCGGTGATGAGGTTTAAGGCCAAGTCATTTTCATTCGTTTAGGCTAAGGTCTCTGTGTATTTAGACATGTCAATCGGGTCATGATGTTGTTGGTGGACACTGAAGAGAATGCGAGTTGCAGAGAACCGGAGGTGATGTGAAGAATAGAGTGGGAATTGAACAAGTCCATGTAAAGACATGAGGAGGCATCGCGCCATGGGAGAGGGAGATGATTCGGAAGATGGAGAAAACTCTTGGGTATTTGGCTCAAATCTTGTACATCGTTTGCTTTTATTATACAAATTGTCCTTAAAATTTCACTTTCGGCATTTTGAACCTCATATCATGATGATTTACACAAATGGTCCTTTTTGTCTGATTCAATCCATCCATTGATCATTGTACTAACAATCATGCTACAAGTTCATTATGGATTACATTAAATTTGACATTCTTCCATATGATAGTAATCTACACTATTAATTTTACAAAAATACTATTTGTACATCAAGAATTATACATCAAGCTGTACATCACACTCACATAGGAGTAGGACCCACTTATATAAAATATTTTTTTATTCAAGCGGATTTCACCCCTATGTGAGTGTGATGTACACGCTGATGTACACCTTAATGTACCGATAGTAAAACCGTTAATTTTAAACACATCTATCTCATCATTAGCCCAATTTCTTCCACATAAGGAAAGTGTTCAACTCCTTGTCAAGCTACAATATACCCTTAGCTTTATTCTTGTACTAATCATCACTTGGACTGAAAATATTGACCTAAATTTCGACATATATCATTAAACCCTTGTTTGATGACCTTTTTTTTTATTTTTTCAAAAAACAATATTTTGAATGTTGATTTTAGGAGAATGTGTAATTAAAAAGTATTAAAAAAAAAATTTAGTTTACGTTTAAAATATTTTATTGGGTAAATGTGTGGTTAAAAATGAACCTGTAATTTTTTCTTTCAAATAATGGTTGGGGCTAAATTTCACCATGGACTCAAATAATGTTAATTAATATGCCACATCATAACTAATAGTGTTCCATTAATTAAAGGCATAAAGTTTCCGAACAAGTTTTTCTCATCAGAGTGATTTTAATCTCTAATTTCCCTGTCTCTTTGACTTCTACGCCCAAATCCAAACATTATTCTTGCCGAAGTAAAGTGGCAACATAGTGAAATGCCTACTTGGAAAAGGAACATCTCAAAGCAACTTAAGCCCCTGCTATATTCTTTAAAAATTCATTTTCCTCGAATTCATTTTTTAAACACATATTTTTTCAATAAAATAATTTTACATGTAAATTCAAATTTTCTTACTTTTTAACCACACTTTATTAAAAAAAATTAGGGGTTGTTCTCTTCGTATTTCAATTTTTTATTTTTTGTTTTGAATTCATTTTAAATTTTGTATTTTGAGTGTCCATTTTAAGATTATTAAAAACGTGTTCTTTTGCCATTTTTAAATCCCCCTCCTCTCTGTAACAATTAATCAAATCCCGATGACGATTTCCTGTAATCCCGTAGGTCGAAGCAATAAACTCGAAGCACAGACATTGAATTGATATCGGCAAAAGCAAGGCACTCATTGTCGTGTACCCGGAGGTCATTCCGGAACCAAACAATGGAAGTGCGGCGGAGGACGGCAGCATTTGGTGGCTCAGAGGGCCGAAGGGGATTCAGAGTAAGTGGGCTTTGAAGTGGGTTTGCAGAAGTGGTCGACTTGAAAAATGTCTTTGCAGGTCAAAGTGAGGAGGAAATAGAAAGATGGGAAAGCAATGAAATTTGAGATGGTATTTTACCCTTTTTTGGAGGAGTAAAAGTAGAAGCAATTTTCTAGGAAGAGGATAGAAAATGAGAGGGAAGAACAGTGGAAAGTGATAGCGAAATTGAAGCTACAGGAATGGAAGAAATCTGGGTTTGATTCTACTCCTCTGAATCAGCTTGGGATTCAAGGTTTTCCGTATAAAATTGGATTTTGGAATCCATTTTTGGTGGTGGCGGCGACTGTTGGTGGTGTTTTGCAGGCGGCAATGATGGTGGTTGGGGGTGGTGGTAACTGAAAATAACGAAAACGCGTTTTGAAAATTTTGACCAAGTTATAACTGAAAGCATCCAAAACAGTTATTTTTTTGTAAATTTTAAACTTATTTTCAAAAATATGTTTTCGAAAATAGGAAAGAAAACGCGTTTTCACTGTTTTGGAAAATCGAAAACAGAAAATGATTTGAAAACGGTAAAGAGAACAGCCACTTACTGTTCCAAAATATTTTCCAAAAAATGGGCTCCAACATAACCCAAATGTCAAATGTAGAGGGATCATCTCAAGGTAAGCACTTTTTTTTTTTTTTTTGTTTCTGGATTATTTGTATGTTGTAAAGTGCTTTGAATACTTTAATTTTGGAACAAGACCACTTTGCACTACAAGAAACACGACTAGGTCTGACCATTTTTCTAGTTATATAGTACAATGTACTACTTGTCTGTCAACTATGCACTTAGTGGCCCTAATTCATAGAATTGCAAAATGAAATCAAAGAGATAAATTAATAATCAAATAGATGTCGAGTACTTCTTGAACTACTATGAAATACAACAGAGCTTTAGAGATATTAACTGGCGAGCTCATAATTGAGAGCATCATGAGAACTAATCGAGATGATAAAGCTGAATGTGGTAGTTTAATATTAAACCCATTTCTTAGAAAGCAGCTTTCAAAACAATGATGACACTCAATAATGAGAACCAAACGGGGTTGAGAAAATCTCATCAAAACTTTTTGTCAAGTTACAGAAAAGTTAGAGATTGATTCCTCATATTCATGAAGACAATTCTTTTCTTGAGCCCATTGTTCCCGACGGTGAAAACTTCCCCACTATTTATGATCTAAGGTGACATTAATTTCAAAAATAAATAACTAATCATATTTTTGCCTCATTGACTATTATAAGCACTATTCAAGAAATTATTATTTTATATATTACATGATATATGTATGATTTCATTGTAATGTAATATCTTATAAATTTAGCAAATTATTAATTTAGTAAATTATTCCCAAGTCGAGACAATCAAGAATATTATTTAATTGAGATTATTAGTTTATCAGGTATAAAATTATGGTGGTTCTACTTCTACTGTAGATAAATAAAGAAAATCATTTTTTCACTCTCTTTTTGCTAGTATTCTTTATTAAAATTAGCATTTACCATTTTACCCATGAAAAGTGAGTTGCTAACCTTATAGACAAATATATCTATTAAAGATTAATAACTCAACAACAAAGTTTAATATAAAGAAGTAACAATTCTATCTTGATCCGAGTGGAGATAGCATTGCAGAATAGATGGTTCATCCATTAAAGGACATAAGTGCTCAAAAAATGAAAGTTTGGAAATGCATACCCATGAAACATAAGCATTTGGACCCAAGTGCTGCGTTATGTGAGGTTTGGGGTAATTCCCCCATTTTGAAAGAATTTTTGCTGATTTTCCCGTCTCCCAATACATTTTTGATACATGAATACATTACCTCTTCGTAGCAAGTGGATAAAACAATAACATTTTGACACCTCGACACCACTTTGTATAAGAACAAGAGAATCTTTCTCATTCAGACCAATGACAGAAGTGCAGATTTCATTCACAACATCAAATTATAAATGGAGTAGAAAAGATCAAGTAACGATATTTATCCGATGCACTAACATTCACAGCCAGATGATCTTTGTTGCCGCCCAGACCCCACGTCAATCGTATCAGGAAGGTATCTTCATCAGTTTGACAAAAGTAAATTCATAGAAATTATTAGAATTCATAAAGAAAAGTGTGAACAAGTATGGATACTTAGCATAACAATCATGAAAATTCACATTCGAGTTTCATAAAATTGCAATGCAAATCGTATTATATTTTGTTGAACAAAGCTTCAAGGGTTATGTGTTAAGCTAATTTTCTAAATTAGTATCAAGACAATTCCAACATCCTGAAGCCTAAGAGTTGCTAAAAATCAATTGACGATTCAGATGCCGTATCAGTCTATTACCCTCAGAAGAAAGAAAACATAAATAAGAAAATACCCTCAAAGAGAAATATACACCCTTTCATCCTAGAAAAAGGTAAAGTGAATTAAATTCCCAATTTGAACACAAAAATTTAATACTAACTGCTTGTGCGAACTGGAAATATATTACTGAAATAAACTATTTTGGTAGAGAGTATTGCTGGAAGGAGTGGGCCTAGAAAGTTTGGAGCAACAGTAATCACAGGAATACTTCTTTTGTTATTTCTTGAAAAGTTTATTCTTCACTTCTAGTTTTAGTATAATACCAAGTTACCAACGAAGTGAAGAAAATTTCTTCTCTTTCCCTGTAGATATTTAATAACATGGAGGATTGGTTGTATTCAAGAAGGGAAAGGAAGGGGAAATGTACCATTTCTACTCTAACCTCATTCATCAGGAGAAAAAGGAAGGTGAAGGGAGAGGAGAGGATGGAGAACTAGTGGATCAGAGAAAATATAATTTACTTCTCTACTCTGATTGCACGGTCTACAAAATTTAATTTGAGATTGGTTCAATATTATCTATACATCCTTTACTCAAAATTTGGAGCAGAAGAAAATATGGTTCATGCCCCTCAACTTCTACATCCCCATCATCTATTTGGTCAACCAAACAAGGTAATGTGTACCCTTTAGTTTCCATGGAACTTGTAACCCCAACCAAACATAGTTGAAAATTTGAATCCCTACCCTATAGTTTTCCTTCCCCCTCGCCTTGGGATATCAAACAGGCCCTTAACTCCTTGGATCAAGGAACTATTTTTAACACAAAATAGGCTAGAAAAAGAATCATAACAATATGAATGCAGGATGAGAATTACCACCATGGAAATACAAAAGAAATCCACATTCGGAAGCACTTACAATTCTTCTTCTGGTTCATTTTTTAATGCATTTTTGGCTATACATTCGAAAGCAGCCTCCACATTGAACCCTTCTTTTGCAGAAGTCTCAAAGTAAGGAATACCTTTGGAGGCACACCAAGCTTTTGCCTTCTTTTCAGATACCTGAAAGTGTGAGTGATAAACACATAGATATGACATTGTTGAAGATATGGAAAGAATAATCTCTATGATATTTTTCCAATAGTGTAGGATTATTTTCCTTAATAGTTGATTGTATAATTATTATGCAATCTTTCCTTTTAGAGTTATTTATAGCCCTATAAATAGAGTCTTTTACTTTGTAATATAAACAAGTTTATTATATACAATTTATAATATTTTTCACATTTTCGATCCTAAACAAATTAACCTTTGAATTTCGTTTCCACCGAGCGGCCTTGAGCCGCTCGTCCGGCTACCAATATATATATTTTTTCTTTTCGGATGTATCCTTTGCTTTAGTATATGTCCAGCTCATCTGAAATTTAGTCCAATTCATTTGTAATTTGGTTTAGTATATGTCAGTTCATCTGGAATTTGATTTGTTGTTGGTTCGGTGTATCCGAAATGTGAGTTTGCATCCAATTTATTTGGTATTTGTCGAGTTGAAATTTGAAATTTGCATCCAATTCATTTAGTATTTGTCGAGTTGGAATTGAAATTTGCATCACTTTGGTTTAGTAGTGGATGCGTTGGTTACTTGCAGATATGGGTGTTCCTTCTTCCTCTCCAACCCATATTGAGATTGACTATCATATGATTTCTCCTTCAAGTCCTAGTGATGGTTTGATTAGATTGGTGGATGATGATTTTTCATTATCATCAATTTTGAGTTATTTGTTCGGCTTGGTTGACATACAAACAATTTTGAAAATTTGATTGGATCGATTTATCTTTCAAACTCAATTTGATTGCTACTACACCATATTGAGTATGCGGGAGGGTGTTGAAGATATGGAAAGAATAATCTCTATGATATTTTTCCAATAGTGTAGGATTATTTTCTTTAATAGTTGATTGTATAATTATTATGCAATCTTTCCTTTTAGAGTTATTTATAGCCCTATAAGTAGTCTTTTACTTTATAATAGAAACAAATTTATTATATACAATTTATAATATTCTTCACATACATAATTAATAGGGACTAACAAGAAAGAAAAGATCTTTTCACTTATGCAATGAGATGGATACGATGGCTTCTGTTCTAATTTTAATTTTTAATTTTTCCAAATTTTCATATAATGCTAAACCATAGAAGAGTTGGCCTTTATGCTGACCTTGCGTATTGGAACCTATCTTTCAATATAATAAACAGACAGATTATGCAATTTTAATTTGATAGCGAGGAAAAATAGGAAGTACCACTCGGCTATTGCCACCATCAACATCAGTTTTATTCCCCAAGACAACAAATGGGAAGTTTTCAGGGTCAGGAGGACTCGCCTGAAAATCAAATTTATCACATTGAGAACTAGCAGATGTGGTGCAAACATTGAAACTGAAATTTGATAGACGAGGGTATAACCTGAATCAGAAACTCCTCTCGCCAGTGGTTGAGGTTATCAAATGACTTCATGACATTCACATCATAAACAAGTACACAACAGTCTGCACCACGGTAGAAAGCCACACCAAGGCTTTGAAATCTCTCCTGACCAGCTGTATCCCATATCTGAAACAGGGATTAAAATTCTACTCGTTATATGTAAATAACAAGGTTTATATATACATTTCCAAAGTTTTTTGCCCAAATGGATTTTCCCCAGAGCACCCCAAAAACATCCTAAAGACCTTCATATCAGAATGCAACTAAGGAGGAGACGCCTGATACAGTCTCAAGATGGTTAGTATTAGAGAATTTCCACTAAACCACAATAGATAGTATATATTTACCGATTCTCTAGCAAATGGGTGATACGACTGAAGTTTAAGAAGATAGATATTTGAGGCAAATTACTTAAACCGTACTGATTGAGAAGGAAAAAGATAATGGACGAAATCAGGGCACCTTCAAACTCATGTTTGACATATAGTTTCTACAAAGTAATCATCGCAAGAGAAAAAAAATGCTGTTTCCTGATGAAAGGCTAATCAGTAATCGCAGAATTTGAAAAACAGTGCCAATTCAAATTCCATCACCTGCTCCCTAGAGACTACTAGCTCAAAATCAATCAGATGATATTATTGCTCTTTGAGTTGGAGTTTCATTTAATCCTACCAAGACGAGAAACACACACACACACACACAAAAGTTTGCATTCCTGTGGTTAAATTGCACATCTCAAGTTCTTAGATAATTAGCAAACACAGAATTATATTGATGATTTTATGTTCCTTTTTGCAAGGACATACTGGAAATCAGGTTTGTTTTTTACCAATGTCAATCAACAAAACAAATCATATCCAAAGCAAATGACCAACGATAAAATAAAATAAAAAGAAGTTGACGAGTTATTAAGATAATTACAATAACAAAAGCTCTTAGCATTAAACCAAACCTGCAACGTGAAAATCCTGTCCTCAAATAGAACCTCTTTGGTCAGAAAATCAGCACCAATCGTTGCTTTATATTGATTGCTGAATTTCCTATTCACATATCTATTTTATCCTCGTTCAAGGCCAAATAACAATTTCTATCAATCAATATCACGCCATTATCGTTCTAAGTAAAAAATTATAATAATTACTTTATAATATATAGACATCTGCATTAAAAGGATACTGATTCATCAGAGACGTTTTCCCAACCCTGGCAATGAATTAATCACATAAAAAAAATTCAATTATCCAGCCAATGCGAATATAAAATGTACAGAGAAGGAGGGAGGGAGGGAGACCCGCTGTCGCTCATAAAAAAAATTCAATTATCCTGCCAATGCGAATATAAATTGTACAGAGAAGGAGGGAGGGAGGGAGACCCGCTGTCGCCGAGAATGATGACTTTGAGAAGCAAACGGCGACGAGACGCCATTGGAATTCGAAATTTCAAAAGCTTTGAAAATGAAAATGAAAATTAAAAATTTGGGGCTTTTTACCGGGGAATTAAAATTGTAAAATTAGTCGATTTTGAGATGTACCAAACAAGTTCTGAATAATCTAGTGTTTCTTAATCAAATATGCAAAGCAAAGATGCCCTTTTATTTTATTTTATTTTTCTTTTAATTTACATATTTCAGGTACCCCGAATAATTATAATTTATTTTGAATTTAACTACAAGGTTACACAATTGAGGCCATGTTTTGTACACATTATTTTTTTCATTCTCATTCTTCTACTCATTTTTAACCACACATTCTACAATAAAATAATATTTTTCATCACATCAATAACCTTTCTTTCATTTTTAACCACACATTCTCCATCAATCTACTATTCGATAATACATTCTTTCAAAAGAATGTGTCCCAAACTCACTCTTGGTATCTTTCCCCCCAAAATTCTATTATGACGAGTCAACGATTACTCATAATATAGGCGATGGAAGAAATAGGCACAATTGTGAATGCGTAATAAGTTATATCACCTATCCATTCTGGCCTCGTCCGCAAGTGCCTTAAAATTTGAAGAATTCTCCTGATAAAACTGCTTCTTTTCCTCCATTCGCCTCTGTAACGCCTCCCCAAGAGGACTATTGGCGATAGCTTTCACCGCCGTGAATGGAATTGCCGAGAAAACCAAAACACCAGCAACCTTCAAAACAACACTTGTTGGATAAAC